GATAGGCCGGCCGGGCTAATGTCACCACATTCGGAACTCTTCTGGCCGGGCAAAGGGGGGGGGATAGCAAAGGGGGGGGTAGAGAATCCGCTCACGCAGCTGAGTTTACTGGCGCCTCCAGGCGTCCATGTCTCGAGGAATGGGCCCAGCGGCGGGGCCGACCCCAGCTGCATGCAGCAGATTTCGTCACTCCCCCTTTCCCTATCCCCCCCTTTCGTCCGGCCCGAAACTCTGTGCCCCCCCCTTGTTGCATTCCCTTGCAACTGGATGGAGCGGGGGGCAGCTTATCTCGAAACGGAGTTCCCGCCGGAATTGCGGGTCGGTGTGGCGTGCATCTTTCAAGGGGGGGCGCTTCGCGCAGTGAAAAAGAATGCGTGTGCGGACTGGTGAGGAGGGGACTTTGGACGGAAGGGTGAATTGGCAGCATCGCTCATACACCTTGCGGTTACTCTGGCCCCTCCTCCTGCCTCCTCCGACAGTGCCATATTGACTGAAGGCCCAACCTTTTGAGTAGGGACCGACCGTCCGAGCACTCTTGCAGGCCTGCCACGCCATGCTCTTAGAACCCAGCAGCGTTCAAAGAGGAACAGCAATCCGCCGACCCCTTGTGGGTCTCTAGGCGTGTGAGATAGTTCCCCCCCCCATAATCCCCCCCCAGGGACCCCAAACCGGAGATTTGACCCCCCCCCCCCGGGCCCAGCACGAGCGCGCCACGGGGCTCTTTCGGGCCCAAAAGGGGGATCAAGACAGGCCCAGAAGGCTCCAAGAGGCCTCCAAGACGGCCCACGAGGGGCCCGAGACGCCAAACGAGCGCTCCCAGACGCCCAAGATGGCCCCAAGACGAGCCTAAAGGCCTCCAAGACGGCCCAAGAGGTCCCCACGAGGCCCCAAGAGGCCCCCAAGATGCGTCCCAAGAGGGTCCCTAGACGCAAAAATTGGCCCATTCCCTTCGTAAAACGTTTAAGTTTCACAAATTCGCTTTCTGGGCTTTCCGACGCTCCAAGACGGCCCAAGAGGCCCCCAAGACCGCCCCAAGACGGCCCAAGAAACCTCCAAGAGGGTCCCAAGATAGCCCAAGAGGCCCGAAAAGGGCCCCAAGAGCGCTCCAGGAGCGCCCCAAGTGGCCTCCAAGAGAGCTCAATATGGCCCCAGACAGCCCAAGAGCGATCAAAGACACCGAAGATGGCCTCCTGACGGCCCAAGATGCCCCCAAGAGGCCCCAAGAGGCATCCAAGATGCGTCCCAAGAGGGCCTCTAGACGCAAAAATTAGCCCGTTCCCTTCGTAAAGCGCGCGTTTTTCACAAATTCGCCTTTTGGGCTTTCCGACGCTCCCAGACGGCCCAAGAGGCCCCCAAGACCGCCCCAAGACGGCCCAAGAAGCCTCCAAGAGGGCCCCAAGACAGCCCAAGAAGGCGCTAAGACGGCTCAAGAGGCGCCGAAGACGGCCCAAGAGAGCCCCGAAGACGGCCCCAAGAGCGCTCCAAATGGCTTCCAAGAGAGCTCAACATGGTCCCACACGGTCCAAGAGCGATCGAAGACACCCGAAATGGCCTCCAGATGGCCCAACACGCCCCTGAGAGGCCCCCAAGATGCGTCCCAAGACGGTCCCTGGACGCAGAAATGTACTTATTCCCGTCGTAAAACGTACAATGTTCACACATCCGCCTTCTGGGCTTTCCGACGCTCCTAGACGGCCCAAGAGGCCCCGAAAACCGCCCCAAGACGGCCCAAGAGGCCCCCAAGACGGCCCCGCGACGGTCCAATATGGCCCCAAGACGGCCCAAGAGGTCCCCAAAACGGCCCAAGAAGGCTCCAAGACGGCACCAAGAGGGGCCCAAGAGGGCAACCAACAATTCAAAAACCTAGCTTTCCGCCCCCACGAGCCCCAGGGGGCCCCAAGAGTGCCCCAACAGGCCGCCAACGGCCCTCAAGAAACCGCCAAGACGCCCCAAGGAGCCCACAAGAGGCCCCCAGGAGGCCCCCAAAAGACCCCCAGACGCTTCCGTATTGCGAGCCGTCACGCCAACTGCAATGCACTCCGCGCATACAACCTTACTCTTCCTCGCGACGTGCTCACTATCTTGCTCGGCGCTAATGTGCTGCTGCCGCGCGAACTGTTTCGTGCGCGCTGCGAACGTCAACAGCCTCTTCACCCGTTTCGACTCATCTGCCACATCTTTCGCTGTGATGCTTCGCTGATCACAGCTTCCACACACTACTCTTGCTCCTTTCGTCTTCCCGTGCTCCTCCACTTGGTTGCGGGTCGAAAGGCCGACCTCCCAGAAGGACACCCCGCACCCGGGTGCACAGCACGCAAAGCGCTCGCAAAACACGCCCCAGACCACCGGCATCACGCAAACATTTGGACCCCCTACGTATCTGCCACCACCCGCGCGCGACACCGCACCCTCACACAAGACGCCGCTGGCCAGAAACTCCTGGCCTCGCAACACTCACAGAAGGGGTCGGCGGATGTGGCGTAAGCCTGTAGAATCTTATTCAAACAAAAGCCCGATGTGCTAAAACAGGACGGTCCCAGCCAGAAACGTTCCAAGAAGATTTCGCGCAGACCATAACACGTTTTATAACCATCCTTGGTAGGCCTATAGGGAAGCCAGGGCGCCTCGCAACTGCTCGAACGCACAATGGGGGTGGGGGGAGGGGAGACGGCTTCTTCGAAGGAGACTGCCTCGTAGAAGGCGCGGGCCTTACATCTGCGGAGAAGGCCAGCGCCTTCTGAGAAGCAAAGGGTGCTTCTCCGCAGCGAGGGTGCTTCCGAGAGGCCTGCGCGTGGCTGACAGTTGGGCCCCCACCTTGCTGCCCGCCTGCGTCGCTCGCATGGGCCGCCACGGGTGAGGGGCAACGATAGGGGGGGCTGGGCACAGGGGGGGGAATGCACCGACCTGGAATCGGCGATACATCGTCGATAGATCGGCGATAGGCCTCCGATGGTGAATCCGCACCTTCCTGGGCAGGTTGGGGCTATCGGGCCCCTATCGGCGATCAATGGGCGATTGGGGGTCGGTGCATTCCCCCCTCTGCCCATCCCCCCCTATCGCTGCCCCTGAACGGGGTCCTGCTCGACAGCCCGCTCCACGGCGCGGGCCCCTCGCCCGCGGGCCTCGCGAAGGGCAGGCCTGGGCAGGCCGACCGCGACGGACGAAAAGCTCCTCCCGAAGCCTGCAGCCACGCGGGCGCGGCCTGCGCGGCCGCGCCGCCGGCTGGGCCGGGCCGGGCCCAGTACTGGAGTTCAGTCGGGCGTGTCCCCCTACAGGGGGTTTTTCGACGAGAAAAAGCAACTCCAAACATGCTGCAAAGTGGCCAAACAAATATGCAAAAAAAAGTCCCCAGGCTATTTTTTACTGTTTCTGAATATTCCCCCTGTAGAGGGACAGGCCCGTCTCAAGACTGGAGGAGGAGATCCGTTGAGGACACGAGTCCCTGCGCCGTCGAAACAACCACAGTCATAAAGATCACTCGAGGGTGCCCTAACTCCAGGACGCACACGCACACCCGACACGCAGGAGGAGCAGTAGGGTACCCTCCCCGAGAGGCCTTCGATCTTATACCGCGGTCCGACCGTGCGCGTCCCACGCACATCAGATGCCGAGGTGCCGCGGCCTCGAGAGGGGCACGCCGCCGGCTCGGCTACGGCCGAACATCTGATCAGAACAGCTATCACTTGAGAACCCCGGGCCGGCTTTCCGGAACTCTCTTGAGACACACCTGGGCCGAGTTCGTGCTGGCGCTGGAGGGGCGAAGGTGCTCAAGCCGGGCCAGCTCTCTGGTAGGTTGGTTGAGACACGCTGGCTCGATGTTTCGGGGCGAGGCTTCTTAAACAGATGCTTGGCAGCACGCGTCCCGCGCACATCAGGTGCCGAGGCTGCGGGACCTCGCGCTGCTGGTGAAGGCAGCAAGGCAAGGGCCCCATACTGCTCGTGCGCCTCCTGCATCCGTCGTCGCTGGCGGCAGGGAGCAGTTTCATGCTGCTGTGCGTCCGCGGTTACGGGCCGCCAGCTCATGCGCTGCCTCTGGCCCGACCTCCCTGCGAACCACAACCGCTGGTGCTGTCCCCTCGTGTCTTCACGTGTGGCGCCGCAGGCGGGAGGGAGATGCCCACGACGTTTGTCATTGGCAACGTCGACTCCAGCTCGTTCGGAATAGTATCACCAAGCTGGGTAGGGCAGCAGGAGGCCACGGCAGAGCCGGCTGATGCGCAAGCTCTAGAAGCAGAGCAGGCCAAGCCAGCCAGTGCTGCTAAGGCAGGGATCGGACAAACTACACCTGCGCCCCCTACAGTGCAAGCTGCTGCTGGTAGAACAGGGTGCGATGAGGATCTCAAGGCGAGTGAGCTGGTCAGTGGCTTCGATGACAAATTGTTCGGCGAGAGTGTTCCGAATCAGAATGCTGTAGCAGAGGTACAACCATCACAACCGCCTCTGACTGCAACTGAGGTGGAGCTTATTCCGGCCGTCACGCTGCCAACGTATGAGCGGAGGGGAAGCCAGCCGTAGCCCTGAAACCAGGGGCAGCGCTCACTGAGGAGCTGGAGCTGGACGAGGCCGCCCAACAGCCAGCAGCACAGTCCAAGTCGCCTAGCAACAAGCCAGCAACGGCAGTGGCGAAACTGGTCGAAGATCCGGCGGCACGCAACCGCGTAGCGCTGCATGCTGCCCTCGAGTGCCTCAAGACCATCCGAGCAATTCAACGAACCATGCCGACACAAGCGGCCTGTTTGGATCAGTGGTCCAAGAGCTTATGGAGTATCGGTTTTGACTAGGACTGTCTAGACTGTGAGATGGGCAAGCGTTGCACTGTGTGTCTTCCTTCGCCCTCTCTTGGCCTTCCTCCATCCGCCCTCCCACTTCCTCCGCCTCCTCCTTCCTCTTTCTCATTTCTCCTCAACGATCAACCCCGATCCTCGATCCTCATCCCTGTCCCCCGTGCCCGAAGCCCGTGGGTGCGGGCGATGCCCCCCCCAACGCCACGCGGCGGGGTCCTCGACGTCGCCGGCCGCGCCCTCCGACCCCGACCGCGTCGAGGCAACTGGTGACCCGCTGGCGGAGAGCTTGGCGCTGGGGGCGGTCGCGCTTTTCGAAAAGGAAGGGGAGGAGGAGGACGGGGAAAATGAGGAGGAGGAGGAGGAGGAAAAGGAGGAGGAGGGGGAGGAGGAGGGAGAGGAGGAGGGAGAGGAGGAGGGAGAGGAGGAGGAGGAGGAGGAGGAGGAAGGAGGAGAGGAGGAGGAGGAGGAGGAGGAGGAGGAGGAGGAGGAGGAGTAGGAAAGGGAGGAGGAGGAGGACAAGGACGACAAGGAGGAAGAGGAGGAGGACAAGGAGGAAGAGGAGGAGGAGGAGGAGAAAGAGGAGAAACAGGAGGAGAAGGAAGAGGAGGAGGAAGAGGAGGAGAAGGAGGACCGAGGAGGAGGAAGGAGGAGGAGCAGGACGAGAAAGAGGACGAGCAGGAGGATAATCGGGGAGGATGAAGGGGGAGGAAGGAGGAGGAGGCGGAGGAGGAGGAGGACGAGGAGGAAGAGGAGCAGTTACAGCAGCAGCAACAGCAGCAACAGCAACAGCGGCAGAGGATCGAAGAGGAGGAGGATCTATGGACGGGGGAGTTGGCCAGCGAATGCGGGTACGACGCACGTGCACTTTTGCGCCATCGGGGGCACATCTCCCAGGGCGGCAAGGAAGTTTAGACCTCTTCGGTGGCAGGTGGGGGCATCGAGTTTTCATCAACCCTGGGACAAGCGCCTCCGATGGTGGGCAATGCAAGGTTTTACAATTTTAATCCCGCCCGAAGAGAAATCATAAGCACGAGCTGCTGGAGGTCAGGGAGGAGGGTTTGGCGCCGATCCCTGAACTCCGCGGGTACCTCTGGCAGCTCATGCTTGACGCTTACGTCGCGGGCGGCCTTGGCGCTGCGCGTGTGCGCGTTGGCCCGCCTCCTGCGGGCGGACGTGCACAAACTAGGTTTACGTACCGCTTTCACCTAACACGCGTGTAGTATTGAATGGTTGGATTTTGAAAACGGCCCACCAAATCCTGCGGGCGTCTGCGTCGATCTGGTCCTTTGTGGCCGCCTGCCCAAGGTGGTTCTTGAGCTTCACGGCTGCCGCGCGGGCGCCTTCGGCCCTCCGCCATCCAGCGCCGCCACCGGGGCTGAAACATGACTTGTTCAAGAGACGGTTTTGGCATGACATCAACACTTTTGTTTGGCTTTGCCTGGTCGGCTTCCGTACCTTTTTTGCTGTTTTTTCCCACGCGGGCAGAAACCCCGTCTGATCCGAGCCAAAACCTCGGCGAAGCGCGACTATGACAAGAAGTAGGGAATGGTGAGAAAGCCAAGGCGAGGGTAGTCAGAAAAGGGGATGAAACGAAACCGAAAAAAAACAGGAGGCGCAGGAACAGGAGGAGGGGAGAAATGAGGAGGGAGGAGCACGATGAAAGATCAACGGGACAAAGACGACGATGAACATGTAGGACGAGTAAACAGATGATCGGTAGCGCGTTCCAATCGCTAGGGAATCAATCCAAAACAAACTTCGTAGTAATCAGGCACTCCAAAAGATCTCAAGGCGGGGGGCGAGCGCCTTCCAATGTACCCCTTCAGCGGCGGCTTCCATCGCCAACGGCTTCCTCGGATCGGGCGAAACAGCGCCCGGCGCGGTATAAACCTGGCCTTCAACTTGGTGGGTCGGCGCATCTTGCGGGCCGATCTGGCCTGGGCCTCGGTCAGTCACTGGCCCCGCTGGTCGTGGATTTCTGGCCGAGCCCGCCGCGGGCTGCTGGAAATCACCCTCGGCCCTTGATCGTCTCCGAGCAATGACCGATCCACCCAGCAGTCGCCGCGGGGCCCCGCGGCCAGGCAGCCACGATGTCCCGAGCCTGGCCCACGGTGAGAGCAAGTCCCGGCGACAGGCTTTCGGCTTCGAACGGTTGGGGAGTGACGTGCGCGAAGTCGGCGGCAGCATGCGCCACCGCGTGATCTAATCTTTTTGCAAAGGCAGGCGCTGGCTGGAGTCGCAAAGGTCGTTCATCCCTTGGCTCGGCCGCGTCCGCGATTCCCAAGTCCCGGCGCGGCGCTCCTCCTTGCGCCAGGGAGTGGATGGGGGCCAATTTGGTCGCGAACTGGAGCCCTCCCCGGTCCTTCCTCTTCGTCGGGCTATCCGGTCTACTTTCGAACGCCAATTCCATGGGGCCCGAAAGCTGCCTCCGTGCCACTCCTCAAACTACCCGCGCGACCTTCGGGCTTTCATTGTCAGCGGCGCGCGCGGCTTCTTCTGCCGCGGCGCGGGGCGCGGTCCAGTCGATCGGTCTCGTGGTCGGGCCCGCAGGGGGGTCGATTGATGGCCTTTGGCCGACCTCGTGGACTAGTTGCTGAAGATTGACGGCCCCAGGCCTTGAACGAAGCTGAACTGGGCGGTGGGGCCACTTCGGGCACTCGCTGCCAATCTCGGCGGCGCCCGCCGACAGACTTGGTGGAAGCGGCTGGCGCCAAACAGTGGGCCGATCGTGACGTTCGCATTGAAGGTCGCGCATGTCTCAACGCGCAGCCGCGTCGCCATCGCGGGCGCTTTCGCAGGCGCGCCTGACGACGCGAGCACCGTGGGGGGGTCCGATCCGCCCCGAAAGCCGCCGAGTGAGCGCCTTCCAGGACCGCGCCATCAATCTTCATCATGTTACGGCTCCTCTTGCCCGGCCCCTCCCCCGCGCGGGTGCGCGCGCGGCCTGCTGAGATCGACGGCCAACTTGAAATCCCGATCACTGCGAACATCCGCCGATCAGGAACCAGGGCGCCATGAGGGACGGGGCCAGGCCACCTCGTTCTCATCGCGGCCCAGGCAGAGATGGCCGCGCCCGCCGCGTCTGTTCCACCGGCGCAGGTCATGATAAGTGCGCATGACATATTCCGAGCGCACCCCTTGCTGCGCCCGCGCGCGAGCCACCGGGGCCCTCGGTTCGCACATGGGCCAAAATGGCTGCGGGTGCAATTCGTTCTTCTTCGACCCCCCTCGAAGACTGAGAGTGATCTTGCGAGAATCCTCGCGCCGACGCCTCGCCCCCGGCATGCTCCACCCCCCGATCGGGTGGCGCCGCGCGAGCAGACTCGCGCGCGCTGGGGGGAATTTGGTCTCGTCATCGCTCGGGCGCCCATTCCCCGTGCGTTTGCCTTGGCTTTGTGCGTTTACTTCAATCGCAAGACGACCCTGCGTGCTCCTCGATGGCCCTCGCCGAAACAAATGCGCGCGCCCGGGCGATGCCGAGAAGTCTCGGCGCCGGCGGCGCTTGGCGAGCCGAATCGGCGGGGAGCTCGCGCGGGCGGCCGGGGCCCCCCAGGCGCCCCGAATCTGGCCGGCATCGGCGCAGATGAGGAGGAGGAGGGGGGGGGGAGGAGGGGGGCGGTCGACGGCGACTCCTGGGCGTTGAGGCGTGGCTTGCCGCCAAAAATCGGCCTTGGATCGTCGGGCGCCCAGGTCGCCGTGCGCTCGTGGGTGGCGCGGTCTGGGGCGCCGCTCAGCTCGCGACGCAGCTCGCCGAACCCGCGCCAGGTGTCGGGGTCCGCGCTGCCGCCGGCCAGCAGGTTCGCGAGCCCGTGCTCGCGCCGAATCAGCACGGACGTGAGCTGCCGCTTCGGCTTCGCGCATCCGTCGGCCGCGCAGTGCCGTGGCGCCGCTCTCCAAAGGGCGCGAAGAACGGCGCGCTGGCGCGGAGCGGGGCCAGGTTCGCGACGCGGCCCCCGAACGAGCGCGCAATCGCGCGGCCGCCGTCTGGTAGGCGTCGCTCTGGCAGCATCGCGTCCGGCCCAGCTAGCCTCTCGAGCTGCTGGGTCAGGGATCCAATGCGACTCGGGCATCTGGTCCGCCGGGAGCGAAGGAACGCCCTGGCAGCGCGTCTTCGCCTTTGACATCCGCGCGTCGAAGGTGCCGCGGAACTGCGCCCCCGAGGGCACCCGAAGCTGATCGGCCGCCGCAGTTTCGTCGTCGCCCACGGTGCGCGACGGACCCGCGGGGCACGCGTGCGCCAGCCGCGGCGGCCGGACCGCGCGGTGCGGCTTGGCCCACTCGGGCGGGTCGCAGATGCATGCTTCCTGGAGCGCGATGACCGGCGTGTCGGCCGCGCGGGCCTGCTGCGAGGTCGCGGCGCAGCCGAGCGGCCTTTTGCTCTCGTCGTCCATGGGCGACTCGGTGGTGTTCTCGCGGAGCGCGACGACGGCGCGCTGCTACCGCCACCTCTACCCACCCACGCGACCAACAAGCAGCCGCAACGACCTAAAACCAACCCCAGCTCCGAAGACGTGCCGACGCTAGCTACGCCACAATCACCACGCACAAAGGCGATCTCCAAGTGCCCCCCCGTGAAATCAACTATGTCAGCACACCCGCCACCACCAGATCTACAGATGCCAGCCATCTGCCCACCACCCAAGGAAATCATGACACAGCGTTGGAAACTGGAGGTACCTCTCAACGCCATGGCGCCTCAGACCCGCGCCGCGCCGCGCGCCTGCTACCCGACCATCGCAACGCAATCCATAGCAACGCACAACGCAGCAGCGAGACGAGGCGACCAGCACATACTCATCTGCAACCGCCCCATCATCTTTGCAACTAGCGCAAGAGACCCGACGTTCGACAACTAGTTTTCGGTTTGTTTTCAGCCCCCCGCGATTTTGAGATTTTTGCTGAAAGGCCTGCGTATTCTTCTTCATCACTCCTCTTCCTCGTCGTCCTCCTTCTCGTCCTCGTCCTCTCTTCCACGTCGCCCTCGTCGTCGTCCTCCTTCGTTGTGTGGGATCCAATTTGAAACCCTCACAACAGGAACCCTTGGGAAAGCACCACAAAAGGATAGAGAGGGTTCAGCGCCGCAGGTACGACCCCCCCCTTGACCTCCTCCCTGAGGCTCCTCTCCGTCCTCCTCCTTCTCCCCCTCCTCCTCCCCCATCCCCCCTTCTGAAGGAAAACAACAACTGTGGGACAACCGTTGGGACCAGACAAAACAAAGAAACGGAAGTGCTAGAGGCGAAAGCTTTGAGGAAACCCGTTGGAAACAAACAAAAACAAACAACACAGATTCAA